GGGAAAGACCCAGAATTCACCATCAGTGTGGGCCTGTTAGCTGGACACACAATTGTGCTGATCGCAGATGCTTTCTGCCAGGGTGGTTGTCCTTCCACAGGTTAGAAGCCTGCCTAGCGGGTGTGCACACTGATGAGCACCTGGCACCGCATGGTCTCTGACACCCCTTTCCCTGAAAGATCTCAAGTATCTTTAATTATTAAAAGTCCTACCCTAGAAAGTGAGAAACATCTGAGAAGTACTAAGTTCTCTTGGAAGACTTGACTCCGTTCCAGGAGTTCCACTTGACCCTGAAAGTGTGGAGCACCCTGAAGGGGGAAGGCCCAAGGTGCCTTTTTCCTACCAGATCCCTGTGTGGCCTGAGGGCTACCCATCTCCATGCAAGTGAGAACACTTAGGGTGCTTTTTCTTAAAAGAACCTAATGAGAACATCCATTTTGCAGAAAAGTTTACCCAAGTATTCTTTACAATGGCTTTTTTGCCTTGTGGAATTGCAAGATGTATTTGGACCTATACCTACCTACTTCTCTGTGGCCGTGACCTGCACTCTGAGGCTTTAGATGTGAACATCCGTGAGCTCCAGCACCTCCCCCAAGCAGCACCAACAAGAGGAAGTTTTGCTGACTGGTGGCTTTCTGGCTCTCCTATCATGGTTCCAAAAAAGAGTAACCAAAGGACCAAAACAACAATAAGAAAACAAGTTTTGCAGTTGCTGATGACCACTTGTGGGGGCTGTTAACTCTGGCTGTGCATTTGCCTGGTAAGACAGGTGGCTGTTTTTTTTTTTTTCCTTCAGTTTTGAACTCTTTTTCCGAAAATACTGGATTGGTTCATATAAACTCATACTCCATATGCCCTTACTTGAAAGGAGGTTCCAGTGATGGCTGGGCGGCATCCCAGCATGCACATGGCCTTGCCCTTTAGAGCCCAAGGTCCTCGGGCTTCTCTGATAAGTGCAGGCTGATGTCACTTTCTACAAGATCTCTTCCTGCCAGTGAAAAGACTTCTATATAAGTCACAACATCAGAATTGGCCTTGTAGTGCACTTTGGGGAGCAGATTAACTTATTTTTTTTATTTGACAGTAGTCACTTTGATATCACTTCCAAATTATTTTACCTTTCTGAAGGAAATACTGCAAAAATTTAAAATATGGTACCCTTTTCAAAAACTGTTAAAACTAATGAGCGAATAACACTAACTGAAGACCGTTACAACACCAGTTTATAAATCTGAGTAAAACAAGGCTTTAAAGTAGCGGCTCCAGGCTTGAAGGGCTTTCCTCCCTGGGGGCTGACAAGGCACACAGCCATGACCGTGCATGTGGTGGTGCTTGGACCTGCCTAATTTTTTCCTAAGAGTCTTGGGGGAAGATTTGTTTTTGAGGATGTAGTAACTTTCTGAATATCAGCTTCAATCCTTTTACCATTAATGTGAAGAATTGTGAAGCAAAACAAATGGCAACTGTCAACATTTCTGGATTCCTTGGCATCGGAACCAATCAGCATATGTACCTGAGCCTGTCTCCTTGCACAGGGTCAGGCAACAGCCCTGTGTTGTGCACAGCTGGTATGTCCATACCAGCACAGGAATGCACTGTGCATGGAGTCACAGGGATGTGTCCATAAGGGCAGGTAGAGACCTTGGTCACTTGGGGGGGGGAGTGTATCTGGCGCCTAAAGTGGTGAGAACCTGCTTGTCCGGTCCTCTGGGGAAAGACCCTCCTGAACCTGATGGTTATCTGCCCAGCCACCCCCCCCTCCCCACCTGTCTTGTGCACTCAGATTTGTGTTTTGACACCTCCAAAGTGTCTTGACATCTGATCCATGGTGTGCATGGTATCCATCTCCCACAACTACCTTATTTTCAAGAATTCAAGGTAACCCTGTTTTAATTAAACTTAGTGCAAACAACTGTCAGTTGCCAAATATCTTGATTTATAAGAAAAGTAGTTGATGACTGTTAGTAGAGTAAAATGCTGTGTCCATTGGGCGTCATGGTGTCACCGTACCCTGTTGAGATGTGAAATGCCCTGTCACAAATTAAATATAAATTTAAATGTGCCTATTGGTGTCTAAACTTCATACAATATAAGGCCAAGTTCTTTTGAGGACTGGGTGCTATCACCAGGTTTGATAGTTAGACTTGAACTTGAAATTCACTTTTAGGGGAAATATACTGAAATATAGATTTGGGAATTGCCAGTGGGGGGGGAATAGCATTTAATGTGGAAAGTTGTGTTTGGAAAATTGTGTATGAATATTTTTGTATTAAAAAGTTTTTAAAGGCTTTTTTTCTTATACTTATTTTATATGGGATTGTGTTTTGTTTTCATTCGATTTTCCCAGTTTCTTTGCATTCTGTCACCTAGCATAGTGCTGACACTCCCCTCCCTTGGGAGGGTTCACGTTGTATGCACCAGGGATAAGCTAACACAGATTTTGGAAATAAAACAGATAATGAAAATAGGGGTAATTCTGATTTTGGAAGAACGTTTTCCTGTTAAAAATAATTTAGTCCATAAATTCCCATTAAAGGCAAAATGGCTAGGAGTAGGAACTGCTGACTTTTCCTGGCCTTGCAGTTGGTCCACAGCTCTCTAATGAGTCTTTGTCCTCGGCCCCCAGTGTGATGACCTTCTTTCACGCTGGCCCTGCTGCCCGCCCTGTCATAGGTGTCCTTGGACTCTCCTAGCCCTGGCTGCCTTTCCACCCCCAAAGTCCTGGCAGCACCTAAGTAGGAGCTGCCCCCCCCAACCCCCTCCTCCCCCCGGAGCAAGGAGGATGACCTGGCCCAAAACACAGCTCCGGGGGCTTTCTTTAGAAAAGCTAAACTTTAATTATTCAGATACTTTTACAATGAAAATAGATAATACTCAAAGACTGGTCTTAAAGGTCCACAACTGTACAAAAAGTAAATACAAAATTCCTGGGCAGGCTTTGGCAGTGGACAACGCCCATCGCCTCCATTCTCTGATATTGGGGCTGTCCCTACCCCATCCCCTGCATCAGCAGGTCACCTTTGGTCCCCTCAACCTTGTTGGGAGGGCACTGCACTAGCAAGGAAAAGCCCTCACTTGTGGTCAGTGGAATTTCTTTAAGAAAAAAATAAAAAAGGTGAAAGTCTTAACAGGCAGAGCTGTCACTAAAGTTAGAACTTTTTTGGTTAACTTTAACATTCAAAAATGTAATATTGAATCCAAAAAAGTATCTTAAATCACACAAAAAGTAACCCATGTTAAAATTTTAAAAATAAGCCCAAAACACCCCAGACAAATGGATTTAAAACTTAAATAGGCTGGGGCTCAGCAGCACATTGGTAGTGGCTGGGGAGCTAGGGTAGAGACCCTGTCCCGCTGACTGTCCGCTGTTGGATTGCTCAACTAAGCTGGGAAAGCTGGCATCTCCCGGAGGCCCACAGAGTCAGGGCCAGTAGTGGATGGGGTGGCCCTTAGGACACGTTGGTCATGGGCTTGTACTTCTTGAAGCGCGTCCACTGGCCCGTGGCATAGTTCATCTCGAACACCGTGTCCACCAGCATGGTGGTGCTGCCCTGGCCGTCTGCCTTGGGCAGGTCCTCTGTGTGCTCGCTGAGCTTGATCTGGATCACGTCCCCCTGTTCTTGGCATGGGTTCTCTGTAGGGGACAGGGGCTGCTGGGTGGACATCTTGGGCAGGGGGTATCCTCAAAGCCCACCCATGCCACCCCCACCAAGGGCCAGATATATGGACACACCTCGGGAGCCAGCCATGAAGCCCAGGATGAGGGCCTTCTCGGGCCGCGTGACTTTGTTGGCAGTCTTGAACATCTCCTGGGCAGCGAACATCTGCTCTCTCTACAAGTAGGGAAAACGATGTGGGTTCCTGGGCTCCACCTGCAGGCCCGTGCCAGAGACAGCTGGCACTCCCACCCCAGGTGCAGGTGGGCATGGCTGTACCACCTACCTGGTGGCCCTCAGGCCTTGCCAGGGCATACCTACCGTGAGGGACAGGTTCTTCTTAGGCTGCTGCTGGGTAGGAGGTTGGGTCTGTGGGGCCACCATGGCCACTGGGGGTGTCTGGGCAGCAGGGGCAACAGCTGGGGGCGTGGTGGGTGTTAGGGGTGAAGTGGGTGCTGCAGGTGTGGGTGTGGCTGGGCTCAGGCTGCTGTTGTACATGGGCGCCCTCTGCTTGAACTGTGCAGGCAGCGTAGGGCTCGGGGCACTGGGCTCCTCAGGCGGCCGGCTGGCCTGCAGGCTGGCTTCTCGGGAAGATGAGGCTGTAGGCAGAATGGGGCCCAGTGAAGGAGGCAGGATTGAGGGTGTTGAGGGGCTGGACTGTGTTCAGCTATGTTCAGCCCTCTCAGGATCATCTGCCCCCAGACCTACCACTTTTGGAGCGGTGACAAGCTCAGCTCCATTTCCCAGACTCTGATAGCCAACCCACCTCCAACCCATAAAATATCCTGCTCCCTTATGCCAAGAAGCCCTTCTCGCTACAAGCTAGGGCATCCAGAGATGTCACTGGGCCAGGGGCACATGTCCCAAGGGCCCTACCCAGAGGAGTAAACCCCATACACCCTAAACCCTGGACAGAAAGCAGTTTACTGAGTCCTGGGGCCTAGAGGGCTTAGTGAGGCTGCCTAACCAAGGCCCTCTGCTGGCTACTGAGGTGAGGTGCTCTCTTCCCCCAACCCAGCCAAATTCCTAATAGGCAGAGCAGAGTGCCACAGAGCAAATACTTCAACACAGAATTTGCCAAGCCAAGTTTAACTTTCCTCAGGTACTTTTTCCCCAAAATTCTGGGACTCTCTGGGAGCCCCTGGTCTCTGAGATGCTATAACCAATCTCAGCTGTATCCTCTTGTGGGTGGGGGGGTGGGTGGGTACAGGGAACCCCTAGCTCCCTTCCCACATAATCAGAGAGCAAGAGCTGGAGTCATCAGGCTGCATAGAAGACCCCACTTCACAAACTAGGATTATCTTCCCTGCCTTAGCCCACAGTGGGCAGTGGCCTATTTTTCCCTAGGAAGGGCCAAGCAGGTCAAAAAAATTTTTTTAGGGAACCAGCAGTTAGCGTAATGGCTATGTCGCTGGACTCCCACATAG